GATTCATCGCGCAAGTGTGTGACGTCACTAATGAAGAAAAACAAGTCGCGCTTAATCAATGACTGTTTCATGTACTGATATGTGTCCCGCGCCAAAAACCCACACTGTCTGATGACGCGGGGAACATATGAATACATGAAACAGTCGTTGAGTAAGCGCAACTTGTTTTTCTTCAATAGTGACGTCACACACACGCGCGATGAATTATGCATCAGTCATGTCAGTGAAATGGACTGTACAACTCGGCAGACACATTTAATTGTGAGCGGTAAGTTCAGACTATTTTGTTCTTTTTTTTTAAATTACCGGTTGTTTGGAACAATTTAAGGGACCTTATGGAATGTCACAAATGTGTGGATCTATCCAGGGTTACTGTCTTGTCTTTCTCATTTGTATTCTCTTTATGAGTTTTTTGGGGGCCTTTTGTCCTCGCGAGGGCATGCACAAAATGCATACTGTCATGACGACCGTGTACCTGTCACCAAAGTATGCCAAATCGGTGGAGCGTTTGTACGGAGGGTACCTAGCCCAGGTGGACTCCCTTTCCTCCCTACGTAACGGAGGGAGTCCAGGGTATGAAGTGCTCAAAACCGGGCAAAAAAATTTATGACCGATATTTTCAATATTTTTACCTTGTTGGAGAAGCCAATTTTTACGTCGTAGTATTCTATGTGTCCTTATCTATTGGGCCGCTGGGTTCAGAAATTCCATATGCGATGCTGACCGACCTTAATCTGGAAAATAAACTCGAAAGCAACGTTAAACTTGTACGTGTTTGTAGACTCTTTTCATCAGTTTCTCACCGCCGAGTCTATTCTAGTCGTACCATATCACGTCTGGTCCGGGGCCAGACTATACAGCATGAATATGCAGTGCGCACGCACGATTTGCTTAGTAACCACCCTCATACGCACGCGCACTTACTTGAAGGCGCGGTCGCTAATCCAATGACCGAGCGTGTTTTCGCGCCAGTTACCAGAAACACGTTTCGGCTTTGGTCATTGGTTGAGCGTTTTCGCGACATCGGTTGACTGGAGTGACGTCACGGTTCCAACCAAAACTAAACAAACGAGGGCGCTAGCGTGTGTGTACGCGCTTTCGTACGCACGTACATTGTACATGACGTACGACTCTGGAATAAACTGATGAAAAGAGACTACAAACACATACAAGTTTAACGCTGCTTTAGACTTTATTTTCCTGATTAACGTCAGTCAGCATCGCATATGGAATTCCTGAACCCATCAGCCCGACAGATAAGGACACATAGAGTATGTAGGCGTGAAATAAGCTTCTATAACGAGGTAACACATAACAAAACTCTGGTAAAAATGTTGGGTGGTTTCATGTAGAGAATTCTTGCCCTGCACGTTAGTCGTATTGCAATGAAGACTTCGTCCAACCTGGGCTAGGAGGGTACCGTAGTTCAACGCTCAGTATAGCCCCACTAGTGTGGCCGTCGGTATGCTGCGCTGAATGTAAGGCCACACACCGTGGTCCGCTCACTACTGAGGACGTTTTCATAAAATTTACAGGGAATTTCTTACATATGGTTGTTTCTACGATGTCCCATCTATCACTTCTGGGATGCTTAGGTGTAATGATGTTCAATTTTCCGAGATATTCTCGAATCTTTCTGGAGCCCATATGCACTCGTGAAACGTCCGGTGATGTCAGCCATTTTGAATGTGACAAGAGATGACCTCAAGCTGTGACGTCGCGTTTATGCAAATTGCTTGTCGAACGAGGGCGCGAGTTGCAAATGTGACGGCTGTTTCCTGTGCCGTAGATCCTGAATAGAGATCAGTGCACGTGGCCCCCAGACGATAAATGCATGGTACAGGAAACAGCCGTCGCATTTGCAACTCGCGCCCTCGCTCGACAAGCAATTTGCATAAACGCGACGTCACAGCTTGAGGTCATCTCTTGTCACATTCAAAATGGCTGACATCACCGGACGTTTCACGAGTGCATATGGGCTCCAGAAAGATTCAAGAATATCTCGGAAAATTGAACATCATTACCTAAGCATCCCAGAAGTGATAGATGGGACATCGTAGAATACAACCATTATGTAAGAAATTCCCTGTAAATTTTATGAAAACGTCCTCAGTACTGAGCGGACCACGGTGTGTGGCCTTACATTCAGCGCAGCATACCGACGGCCACACTACTAGTGGGGCTACGCTCAGTAGAGCTAATAAATATAATCATTCACTTACCTGCCCAAATATTTGCATGGGTAGCGGCATATTGACGGATTAGTAATGCACTTCTCTTGTACGTTGAAAACTGCAACAGAACGAAACGGTATAGACATTCAAAGTGTCCAAAAATCAAGGTATTCGTATAGCCCTGGTGGACTCCCTTTCCTCCCTACGTTAGTCGTATTTCGTCCAACCGTACCTGGGCTAGGTATTCGTACTGTGTTTTTGTACAGGCCTGTACAGTATAAATTGCATGCGCATAATGTAGACTGGCTCCCGCCCCACCTAAACAGAAAATGGAAACTGAGGATAATAACAAAATCGGGAACCAGACTGTTGTAAATGTGACATCCGCACAGGAACACTAGATGGCGCTGTGTAATCAATCTCTATGGTTCCAGACCAGTAAATTAACTTCCATAGACCCCAATGGTAAATGCTCCCACTTCAAAAATTCGGGGAAAATACTCACAACTCTCCAAGGTGCTCGAGACACACATCAAATTAAAACTTATTTTATCATCTTTCAGTTTCTTTTCAATTTGTTGGGGGTCAATTGATGACTTTTAGGAGAAATTTCCATCCGAAGATGACCACCCCTGAAATAGTCCTGAAGCCCCGGCATCGCCATTTTGCAAAACGATGCCTAAACTCCATTGCAAAATAGAGCGCTTTAAGGGCCGAAATTTCATCGAAATTGAACGGAACTACAAGCTCACAGTCCTGTGCACGGCTTCCACCCATATTTTCTTTTACAAACCCTCAAGTTTGCGGCCAATTTTCGTTTCAAAAAGTGGGCGCGCTATACACACTCAAACGCTACTCACCACGCTCCGACTTGCCATTCGATATGTACTCGGGTTATATGAATGGACAGGGAAGGAAGTGTATGGGCCGAGACCGCCGAGATCCCAGAAGATAAGGGATCGGCATGGGCTCATTGCGATAGCTCATCCTACCCCTGAATGCTTGGTCAGCAAACCCCAGGCCTATACCTGCACACACCCATCATGCACACGCAGAGAAAAGTTTTTTGGGGGTCTCTCTCGGAATTTTCGATTTCCCCAACTGACGTTGTACAGTATACATGTACGTATAAAATTTACGTGTGTAAAGTCTGTCCTTCTGAAGCTAGGTGCCAACCATGCATGGGCGTCGATCGGTGGGGGATGGGGGGGGGGGGGTCCCCAAAAAACCTGTTTTCGTCCCCGAATCAACAATTTAAATTGTGGCCTATACTAAAGCTCAGAATAGCCTTTTATATTACTCCAAACCCAAAAATGATATTTAAAATGGTGATCTTTTGGATAAAGTGGTCAGAAATTGCCTCAGATCGCACCCGACAGAGCATCTATAGAATCCATTTCTTTTTCGGGGCCCTCAAGCGGGCCCCGAACCCCGGCCGTTAGGCTTTTAACTCACATGAGTTCTAATCAAGATACACATGTATGTAACCCCCCACCCCCACCCCACCCCCACTTTTGAGAAGCGATTGACGCCCTTGGTGCCAACAGGCCTTCAGACCTAGGACCTATACCAGTTTGCCCTGGCTTGATTTGTACAGTGCTTTGTACTTTAAAGGGAATATACATCATTTGCTTTTGCTGTAATTTTCAGAAATGGATGGAATTGGGGGGTTGGAAATATATAGCACAAATAGTTACAATGACTTTTTTGAGGTTTTGGGTTCGAAAATGCTATAAAAACCAAGAAAAACAATCATTTTCCTGTTGTCTGGTTCCCTGACTCCATATAAGAAGAAACAGAGCAGTTTACATACATTGGCAAATTGTAAGGTCAGGGAACCAGTCTAGCTGGCTTGTCACCCGTTCATAGGTGTGTAATCGATTGCAAACAAGTGCGATGGTCAATTGGGGCCAGTATTTGAAAAACCCCAGTTTTTTCCAACGCTGATCGGCCGATCAGCGTTGGAAATTGATACAAAAATAGCACTTTTCTTGAAAATGACAGTATACCAGGTGCCATGATTTTACAGGATGCTTTACACTGTCATTCACCAACAGTCCAGCAAGGTATTTCAAAATGATTTGATAGTTTTATTTTTTGATGTTTGCAAATGTTGTATTTTCCCTTTAATTATAGCATGAATTTTGTGCCGATGTCTCGGGGCGGAGTAGATACTACGGAACACATAGTCCCTAGGGAGTAGGGACTACAAAACACTTAACCTGGGCCTGGTCGTTTTATCCAAAGTCTATCTCACTTTAAAAGCAAAACTGCGTGGACAAAAACTTGTAAAAACCTTTCCATTGAAACTGTATAGCGCCCTCATAGGTCGAGACTGACATCGTTCAGCCTTCGATACACCCCGGCCCCCCCCACCCCCCCCCCCCCCCCCCCCCCGGCTCTCCTTATTTCGGTGACATTGTAGTCGATCGGATTGACTTCTCCATGATCAAGTCACATCTTCGATAGGTGCGCAATTTTTTATAATCATTTTACCCAATATAGTACATGACATCTTTTTCTGCATATACCGCCTCCGCCCCATTAAAAAAATACTGAAAAGAAAAGAAATTTCTTCTTGTGGTCTTGAAATCATTTGGCTCGAAAGGTGCCTGAATGTAACAAAACTAACGAAGAAAATTTCCTGCCAGGGAGGTCCTTCAATTTTCCTCATCATGTGGAAACCTTCGGGTTTGCAAACCAGGCAATTTCTTGCAACCTACCACTAGTGCATGCAATTCACATGGACCACATGGACCATTCTGTGTTTACATATCTGCGGAGATGTTAACATGCGCCCTCTATTGACACGTCACATTAAGTCTATATCCTAGGCTTCTCCATGTGAAATTGTAGTTATATTCTAACACGTGGTGGTGTGTGCAGGCTAGGGCCATATCAAAACAAGATCAAGAATCGGCGGGAGTTTTTTTTGTGACACTTTAACTAGGTAAGATTCTCCAACCTGTCTAAAGGATTACCGTCATCATTTATCACTGAGTCATAAATTTTCCAAGTACTTGGTTGGTTCGTCTCGTCCCAAATACTCCGCAGGGGAGTTTTAACAGGAGGCCAGAAACACCGGGGCAAGCCTCTTCTCTTGACTAGCGATATGTTCCTGGGTACGTCCCATCCGAAGGACGAAGCAATAATGGTTAAGTGCCTTGCCTAAGGGCACAAGTGTCGAGACCCGGGCTCCAACCCACATTCTGCTGCCTTTGAAACACCCTAGCATGAGTCCGGTGCGCTGCTCTTAACTGCTAGGCCATGCCCATGAGTCCCATGTGTTCAAGTTTTAACTTTGTCATGTTTGTAAAAAAGCTTGTTTTTGTGTTAATTATTCGAATCATGTTTTTGTTCTTGGTCATTATTGGTAGGCTAACATCTTTCACCTTCAAGCGCGACATGGGAGTACCCAATAAAGTTCTGACATTGGTGTTAATTAGAGAGGAGTACAGGATCCTCCTGGGCATGAAGAAACGGGGCTTCGGCGTCAATCGATGGAACGGGTTTGGCGGGAAAGTGGAAGCTGGGGAGACCATTGCCCAAGGAGCCAAAAGGTTTGTACTTTACACATTCCTACCAAATCACACGGGCAGACAGGCCTTGGTTTGTTTGTGTTCTACTCCTGTAGTCCTGTACCGACAGTGCCATGGTACATGGGTTCGAATCCTGATGGGGAACATGGTCCTTGTGCTCAATAAAACCAAAGAGGTCTTTTGAATCTGATAGCTTTTTTCTTCCTTCAGGGAGGTGGAGGAGGAGTGTGGTCTCACACTGACAGAATTTGAGGAAGTCGGGAGGATAGATTTTGAGTTTGTCGGCGAGCCACAGATTCTTGAGGTGCACATCTTCCGAGGGGACAAATACGAGGGGGAACTTCAAGAAACGGAAGGTAATGGTATCAATCTTAAGAGGGTGGGGGGGGTGTTGAGGGAGGCAAGAAGACAGTGACAAACCCCAGATTTTTTGCTACAACAGGCTGTTCGGCTACTGCAAATTCAAAGGGGGGGGGGGGGGCGTTTGCACCCCATCTTTTTTGTTGTTGTAATTTATCCATATACATGAAGGGAAAAGGGATGAGGTTTCTACAATATCGATTTTAAAACAGTCTTATACACTCCTCAGGTTTATTTTCTAATAACCCACCAAAATTACAAGAATGCTACTTTTTTGGGGGGGGGGGGAGCAAGGGGACTATGGTCCTCATTGCAATAATCGCAAATCCCATAACCCAACTTTGTAGACATTTTGTTAACACCTTACCCCCGAGTCTGAACACTGCTGTGTTGCCTTTTACTTCTCGTTGCAGAAATGAGACCCGAGTGGTTCGCACTGGACGCCATTCCCTTCCACAGCATGTGGCCTGACGATGCATACTGGTTTCCCATTTTCCTTCGGGGGTCGAAGTTCAAAGGTTACATTAAGTTTGAGGGTCACGACAAAATATTGGACTGTAGTCTGGAGGAGTTGGAGACCACAGACAGCAATTGTGTAAAGTGACTCAAATAGAGACATTTGGGGCATCTTTTCATGTAAAATTGGTTCGCAGTCTGCTGAATTAAGATACATACACGTGATGCTGCTCTATTTTTATACTCTGTCTAAGGTGTGATAGGTTTCTATAATTGAACAAAAGCAGCTTTGTTTTCATTTAAATGACAACTCACTTGGTTATTCCAATTGTAAATTGGTATTAAAATGGGTGTGTATGCACATAATTAGTATGTTTTCACCTTTGTTTCCAAAACAGTGAATTTAATTGAAATCGATCTAAAATGTAAATGTCCATATTCTATGGTATTTTTCCTTATTTGGCAATGTGGGTTTCGTCTTCTTGAGTTTTGTTGTAATTAAAAACAATTTCATTTTTTTCATCTGAAACATTCACAATTTGTATTTAAAAATTCCAATTGTTCCTATTTTTTTAATGAAAATTTATGAAAATTGGGTTCTTTAAAAATAACTTGACTGGAACATGTATCTTCCGTTTTTAAAACATTCTATCTCAAAACCACACGTGCTGAACTGGACTGAAATGCATTGCTTTATCGCTCAACAGGGGGCGCTTTACCAGACATCTTGTTGATATTGTGCACTCCTACCGTGCTCTTAAATTGCGAGGGTGCAGGAGAGTATTAGCCCGAAATTGCCTACGCCGGCCAAATCACGATTTGAATGCCCTCAATGTTTTTCATATGAGAACATTTTGTAAAAAAAAAAGAAGGGTGGAAGCCGTGCACAGGACTGCGAGCTCTTATTTCTGTGAAATTCAGATGAAATGTGGCCAAAAAATGCTCTATATTTTGCAATGGAGCGTAGGCATTCCTTTTTCAAAATGGCGATGGTCTTTAGGACTGCTTTTAGTGGTGATCATCATTGGATGGATTTTCTCCAAAAAGTCATCGATAAACCCCCCAAATAATTGTGCAGAAAATGAAAGATGATGAAAAAGCTTTCATTGGTGTGTCCCTAACACCTTGGAGGGTTGTGAGTATTTTTCAAAATGTTTGGAGGTGGGCGTAATTATCACTGAGGTCTATGGCAGTTTATTAATTTATTTACTGGTCTGCAACCTGCGACAATCCTATCCTTTAAGAGCTTGTGACGGCTTGTCTATCTCACAAGATTTGGTGAAGGAAAGGGAGAACATTGTTAGTAGATTAATGTCATTCCTGCACCCTGCATCCTTATACAAACTCTGCGCGCACGATGCAAGTGTTGAGACCATTGGTCGGCGGTCACACAATATTTATCTGCAACTCAAAAAAAATTCGCCGTCGACACCGCCCTTGGTTGGGGCAAAACAGTTTTGTGTCGTTTTAGACGCACACGTTAGCTAAAAGGAAACCTGTAAAAGTTGTACGGAAAAATTAACATAATTAAAAAAAGTACTAGAACTTCAACAATTTTTTTTACCAGACAACTTGCCTGTAACTTTTAAATACATGTGAAAATCTTAATAAAGTGCGTTGATTGGTGATCATCAACAATTAACATTTACCGTTTGATATGTTTTCTTTCTGTATGAGTTTCTCGTGGATTCGTTCCTCGTTAATTAAGTCATGAATGTGAACAACAGTCTAATTGAACCTGGGCAATCGGCACTTGCTGTAGGTCATGGCAATTTGATTGGGTGAAGTAGGGTGGACACTTTTCCTTAAAAAAAAGTGTAAGTGTGACGTTCAGTTTAGCCATTGTTCTGGGGATCACTTCACCACTGCCAATATTGATCCATGCAGTTTTTGGTCAGCCATTGCAGGGGGGCATTCCCATAGGGTTGTGTACAACATTTTTCAACTTAAATGTCCCCTAATCCAATATTCCCCTTATCCTTTCCCACGAATTTGGTGGGTTTTTTTTTGGTTTTTTTTACTAATTAGACCACGAGCTGAGATTTGAAGGTTTGCATGGTGGATAGATACTAAGACAAGATAAGTTTGCGGTAGCACCATGTGAATAAATCTCTTTTGTGAGTATGTGTGGTTCTGAAAAGTGAGTGAGTGTGTGGTTGTTAGTATGTGTGGTTCTGAAAAGAGCCGGAGGTTTGAAAAGAACCGGAGGGACTCCGGTTCTTTTCAGAACCACACATACTCGCAAAAGAGACTTAATCACATGGTGCTACCGCAAACTTATCTTGTCTTAGGCCACGAGCAACAAATATAACCTAATTGCGACGATAACGTTTTGCCTCTTAAAGGGGGGCTCTGACAAAATGTCTCCCTGATGTCCGGTGTCTACTGAGTTCGAATAAAAAGGATTGACAGGTCTCCCATAGGTACCATTAACAGTTGTAACACCTATTACACTAACTTATAATTATTAGACTCTGGACCATTTGAAGTCTTGGACACGGTCACCATGGACCTCACCTTGTTTGGGGGTAGACATATGGGGAGCCATCAGGGAGACATTAGGGTAGACGAATCATCATTTTGTAGTGGTGGTCGTATTAAGCTACCCTTGACACATGGCTAAACCCTGCACTTTTGTAATTTGATGATGAAGGATATTGATATTGTGTTGAAGCAAAGATACATTTCACAACACGCAATCGTGTCTGCAATTGCCCAATAAACACAATTATTACACATTAATTCATCACCAAAGAAATTCGTCTCTCCGTGAAACTTCAAAAATGAGAGAACGCGTTTTTGCCATCGCAGCATGTAAATTCGTGAAACAAAACGCGCAACGCGGTGGCCGTTCCACGAGTGAAAAAAAACTCCAGAAAAACAACGGTCCGTTGTGAGACAATCTTGAAATATATGCTACCACTTCTGTTTTTAAGACGACAGACGATCCTCCTTGCGTTCCTGCTCCCGTTTTCTACTGAAATTGCTTCAAACATCCCGTTACATTCTCCTCTCATGATGTTTTTATTCAGTTCTTCACCCACTTGTTATTCTTAAATACTGACTTTTTGAATAATCCCTCATCTTTAAATAGTATTGTCATCTCTCAGTTCGATATAAAGACAAAAACATCTTTATGACTTTTACGGTGCATTTGCATGGGCGTCGCAAGGGAGGGGGGCAAGGAGGGGGGCGCTCCCCCATGGAAAAGCCAAAAAAAAAGGAGAGGAAAAAAGGAGGGGAAAAAAAGGTGAAAAAAGAAAAAGATGCTCAAAGTCATATTGCTATTAATTTAATGGGTTGGGGGGGGGGGGGCAAATGTCCCTGCCCATACTCGAAAAATGATAAATCGAGAATATGCTGGAAAGTTTTTTTTACAGGGATTTCGGGAAGAAAATGTGCTTCCCCCCCCCCCCCGAAAAAAATTCTGGCGACGCCTATGTGCATTTGATGTTTCAGAAGAGCAAGACATTTTCGCTTACAGTATGGAAACGATAATTATAATGGATTTACATTCTAGGAAATTTTAGCGTTGGTATTCAATCGGAAAATTTAACAGAAATAATTAATTTCATGGAAACTGCGTTTTGCAAAGTACTGGGAGGCTCTGCAGGCAGTAAACAAGCATAGGCTTTCGTTAAGATGAGGTCGCTAAAATGCACATAATAAATTCATTGTACTGAACGGTGTAGGCCTACACAGCTTAATCAGCTTATTCGTCGTTCAGTTTATCTAAAGATTTATTAACAATGGGAATTCGTAGGCAAAAGGGCACAGGGAAAGGCCAATCCTGGCCCTTCCCACAACTCACATCTATATCGTGATCAGAAACAGAATGGTGGGTTAACTTATTAGACAGTTTTTTCCCCTATATTAAATTGTACCATGCAATAATGGCGTCTGGAATTTAAGTACTTTGAAAGAATGGCGTGGTGTTTTTCTTTAATTGACGCATCATTATGTGTCCTGTCTCAATGGCTAACAGTTGTAGCTGTTAGCTGGTTGTCATAATCGGAGGTGAAGTTGGCAACAAGGTCACTGAAGTCTGGTGTCTCGTGTTCTGGTATCATGGTCACATGCGAGCCGTAGCCAACAGAGCCATTACGGGGCTGACCACGGGAACCAGGCTCCACGAAGAAGCTACTGGGCAGGGCCCGCTTTCTCCATGGTAACGTCGGGAAGCATTTTTGGGAGGAGGAGGAGTCCTGAGATTGCCAGTGGCCGTCCCGGCGGTCATTACTGATGCTGTCCATGCAGCCCCCGATGGCAAAATCAAACAGCTCCTTCAAGGGCCCCAGCCCTTTCTGACAGGAATAGTTCGCGTTGATCACATCTGCGTTTTCCGCTGCTGATGATGCGGATGATGTAGATGCACGAGGCGATATGGAAGCATCAGTCCTCCTCCCGCGTCCTGTGCTGTACGGTTCGGCCGCGTCGCCATTTTGAGCCACCCTCAGCAGGTCGGCGTAGTACAGCTCCCGTCCCGACTTGCCCGAGGCGAAGCGGTCCTCGTACACAGTCCCCACCGACGAGTCGGGTTCGTGCGCACTCTTCTTCCGGCCAAAGTACTTCTGGATGTCTCGATTGACGGCCTGGGCGAACTCCAGGAGCTGCTCGGCAACGTTGGGCTCGGGCTCCGCTAGATCCTCGCTGGCGACCTCCGAGTCCATGTCGGCCGAGGTGTACATGGACTCATTCTCGCTCTCCTCCTCCTCCTCCTCATCGATATCTTCATCTTCTATGTCCTCCTCATCCACCTCATCGTGGTGTTGGTTGTGTTGTGCCACCATCACGTGATCTTGGTAGCTCCTGGCCGGCTGATGGGTGTAGTAATCATACCCGTCTATCTGATGGTGCTGATGTAGCGGGAAGTTATGGCCGAAGTTGACTGCCGTCATGCCCTGATGGCCGAAACCCACTGCCATTTCAGTGGCCATCATGTCGCCGTTGGTTTCGAAGATTAACCACTTTGTCAGCACACTAGTAGACTTTCAAAACTCTGTCGACCTTCAGAGAGTATCTGAGATGCGGGAGGTTGACGAAAATCTAGATTCATTAACCTGCAAGGTTTGGAAACAAGAGAGAAATATGAGAAACGTATACAATACAAATGAGGTTCACCAACCGTCCATTGCACGCTCTAGCCTCGCTGTCTCCTTAGTAACTGCACGCTAATGACATTCTCTGCAATCATAAATATCTCCAAAGTGTTTCATGCTCGGTCATACCAGGACATTATTCTAATCACAATGCAATCCAAGAATAAGTCCGATAACCAACATAGAGTCTAGAACAAATCAGAGAGAGCATTACCTAAAAATCGAAAACCTATAATGCTCGATCAGTTCGAAGTCCTTATAACAGCACTGACTGACGCGACTAATTTTGATCCGATATGGGTTTTCGTTTCTCGATCCAATGTCGCCGTAAAGTATGAAATATTACCGTTGGTCATGCATCAAGTCTTGCTCGGATTACTGCCAAGACAAATCCAAGCAGTAGTTATGATGTATAATATACACACACAGAGACCGAGCAGGAAAGACATGCTCGACGGTGAACGAGTCATGAAGTAGTGTGTGTATCGTTTACCGTCATCATATCAAAATAAGACGGAGGTAAGGGCTACTGTTTGATGAGGGTAATGATGCGAGCATGGCGGTCGGTTCCACCAGGCCTCGGCGAGGCGATACGAGTCATTTGACTGGCGACATTTTCTGCCAAGCAAGCTACCGGGCCTGAACTTTGGACGCTAAATGGGAAATGTCAATTCCCCCACAGTATATTATTCCAGTACAGAATTCAAGCTTTATTTTAGTGAGTTTACAGGGGGAAAAAAAACCCTGGGTATATTTAATTGTGCTTGAATTACAGGTTCTTTGCGTTACGTGTGCACAATATTTGGAGATTGTTTTCTTATAAACTATTAACAGAGCTTTGGACGGTTTAATTCTTATACATTAATTTTCTATAATTTAGTGGTTTCATCTAGTTTAAGTCCAAACACAAAATGCAAGTTTGTTACTGTTTCAAACAAATTTGCAGGTTTAAATAAAATAAATTGTTCGGGAGATGAAATTGCAAAAGAAGGTTGCAAATTCAAATTTGACCCGTATTTATGATTTGTTGGGGGGAATGACCAAAAGATGTGTAAACTACCTTTTTATGACTGAGTGATCCCTCTGAAAAAAATACGTGTATTAACATTCCAAATTTCATTCGTTTCACTGTAAATATAGGAATCGGTAGTGCAATGAAATGCAGATTTCACATTGTCGTGTCTGTTTGTATATGTTCTCCCAGGCTCGGTAATGTTTCTTTGTTTCATGATCGCCAAGTATGATGAATTTTATGTATATAATGTGAAACCGAGGTGTTGATGTGTATAAGCAGCGCCGTTTATATCCACCGTCGTGGGTGATTGTGTGTAGCCTGGACTCGGGGTGCAATTGAACTTGGCAGCTTGTCAACGACCCGCCTCGCTGGTTGCTGGCCACCGTACCAAGCGAGGCGGGCGAAATATTAATGGAAAACGGCATCACCCAACCCTTCTAGCCCCGGCCAGTGTGGAGAACTGTGCAAACACCATCTGCAAACGAATTAACGTCAAGCCAGGCCCATATATCACTCTGGTTTTAGTCAAAAAGGACAAGTAGATATTAATGCTCTACCTTCCCCCCTAAACTTGGCGGGGTTTATTATTGTAGCTATAGATCGCAGGGAATCGTGAATAGCCTACCCTAAGTGGAGGGTTGTCGATGGTTTAGGCGAACAGATCTATTTAGGAGGCCCGCTGTTGGATACTCAAGCCGTAAGGATTGGGGGAGAAATCTCTCAACCAAGAAGCTAATTACAGCCTGCCACCACCAGCTTTCTATTTATGAAGTCAAGTATCAGAAAAGATCATAACACCTTGGCACTTACTCTCACTGTCCGGACTCGCTTTTTTATTTCATTTTATGGGGAGGGAGTGTGTATACATCGATCGTGCTTGAGCAACGCACTCACACGAGGGCATTAAATTGCCAGACGAAGTCAACTAGGATCTGGAGTGTCCCGGGTGTATATCTGTGAAGCAATTTATAGCATGGACTGCACTTTTTCTTGCCAGCCCGCGTGCGTGTGTTCTTGTGTCCCCTGATAATGGCTGCAGCTTAACGATCTGTACGCCACCTTTGTCTTGGCAAGAATCATGATTGAATAAGAAAAAAGTACAAGAGCAAGTCCATTAGCGATTTTTGTTTCCTCCGCTCGACACATTTACACTTAACATTGATACTGCACACTTATGTTCTTTATACGGACACAGGTTTAAAGCTATCATGATCCACAACAAGCAATGGTATACCAAAGAGCCATATGTGGCATTCGCCGATGTGCCAAACCTTGGGGCGCGCTTTTGACAAAAGTATAGCTTGCAATTTATACCCTATATACCTGCTTGCAAAACTTTTGAATTCATTGTACCTCAGCCGACACTGGTAGTGTTTAGGGGGTGTGGTGCATACAGCCGATACCAAATTATCAATCACGACGGTGTCATTTCAGTAGGCTTTAATATGGCCTACGTATGCATATTAGTTTACGTTAGGTAATACAAAGTACCATTTTCCCCCTTCGTGTCTCCTGACGACGGGCAGAGCATACTGTCCGAAACGTTGAGTTTCCCCCGGATCCTTTCAGAACCTCACAAACTCACAAAAGAGATTTATCACATGGTGCTACCGTAAATCTTTATCTTATTCGTGAGAAAACTTCCTGTGAATCCTTCTCGCTTGAAAAAAAAATGCCTTTCAACCAAATTCATTACATGTAGTTTACGACAGGACATCAGTTAGCCTTTTTCCTTGTAAAAATCTATATATACTTCAACCCTCCCTTCTTAAAATGCCTTTCATAAGACAAACTCATGTAATGAGAATTAACTTCCTCTTTAACATTGGAAGTTAGATGAAGAATAGGTAAAGACCGGTTCATCTCGGCGTGATAAGTGAACGCGGATGATTAGTGACGTCACGGGCTCACGGCAAAATATTCGTTGGACACATTTTCAACTTCGGCGAATTTCGCTGCGGTCTTTTGTGACGTCAAATTTGCTTGTATTAACGTGAGGTGTGAGCCAACGGTTGGAAGAATGTTTATCGTTTTTGTTAAATACGTCGCAAAGAAGGAGCACCGTAGTTTCGGCATTATTGGAGACAGAAACCACACATTTTGGTTAACTTGTGGGTTGATCTATAGGCGAGGGTTACAGTTTATCAATGCATAAAATACCGTTTTCATAGTTTGTTCCCCACGGCGGAGGGGCCGGGAGGGCCGGGAGGGCGGCCTGGGAAAACAACGGATGAACCTGAATTGGGACAAACTCCGAAGTACTCAATAGACGAATTTCAAACCAGTACTCTAAAATCGAGGTTCTCAGTGCTGAGCCATTCTTTGAATTAAGGACATTTTCTTGTTTTAATCCTCTCAACAAAAGACAGTACTAAGGCCCTCGGCTTCAGTGCCAATCTGAAATTCCTCCATTCCTGTTTGTAAAAAAACGGACACGAGTGATTTCTTGCTTTTATGCTTTCTTTTGTAGGATTTTATAGGGCGCTTGTCAAACACCAGACCACGAACGAAGTAGCCTGATAAGTTATGTAAGCCTATAGATTGTTTTGGAAGTTTTTTTGTTCAGAGGAATGCGCGGTCAATATTGGATGAAAAATGCAAAACCAAAGTACATTCGGTCTGGAGTAAACGGTCTTACATATCACTTTTAATTTTTGCCTGCGCTGTTACCATATTTATAATACACACCATTTGCCTTAATACAACAATTGTCATTGTTTACAACAATATTAATCACAACCCATTTCATTGATTTCATAAGTACCAAATGTAAGACAGTTTACCCATTCCTACTGGTCGAGAGCCCGTCACTTGGGTGTTTTTTTGGAAGTTAATAATCTTAGGCACTTTTCAAATCGTAAAAGTTTAAGTTGCTCTAGGCCTAAGATGCTCTCCAACATCGTCGACTTTTTTCTCCTCACGAATTTTTAATTTGTATGTTTTATTTAAACAGAAAAATCTACTTATTCTACCTTTGAAATTTTAACCCTGTTAATTAACCAAAAAACCGCTTTTATTTCGGGTCTCTCTGCGCCCATATCTCACAAAGAAACGACTCAATTACTGTAAGGGCCGCAAACAATTCATATCATGTGCAATAAAATATTCCACAACTAAATGTTGGCGGATTTTTTTGTTCGATGTGTCATCAAAGAAAAATAACAATTTTAAAATTAACCTTTTTTTTCTGGATGAAACTCAAAAATGGCACGGGGAGAGAACAATCTTTTGTTCTTCAGATGAAAATGACACGAATAAGCTAACGATAAATACTTTATTTTTTACTTTGATTTAACTATGTTTTTAACGACGCGATGGAATAAGTGGCGCTATAATGTCGGAGTCACGACCCAGGACAAAATGGCAGCGTATAACGGCATGAAGGGCTGTTATGCTGATGCGGCCTTCGGTCGTGTAATACGATGCAACGTTTTAGCGATAATCAAGGGTACCTACACTCAACAAAAAAAGAAAGTCCCCCTTAATATTCTTTTGTCTAACTCAAAAACTACCGGGCACATCTTGCGCAAATTACGACTGATCAGTACAGAAATTCCTTAGCAATCCGGCCATGCTCTTTATTTGGCTCAAAACAGTGATATTATGTACAAAAGTATGCAAATTATGACAAATGGTACTTTTGTAAAGTACAACTGTTTTCGGTATCATTTGTCATAAATTGCATAAATTCGTACACGTTATCACTGTTTTGGGCCAAATAAAGAGTATGGCTGGATTGCTATAAGGAATTTCTGTACTGATTAGTCGTTATTTGAGTGAGAGGTGCTCAGTAGTTTTTTTAGTTAGCCAAAAAAGGATTGGAGGGGGGAACTTTCGTAACGTCTAATAGCATGGACCAATTTCTGTATTTTTTTCAGATAAGTGGAAGAACATGCTCTTTTAAGACATACTTCATTGGCGTTTCAAATTTGATAGCTTAAAAAAAAATCAATAATCCAGGTCACTTTCTTTTTGAATAACACTGTATTATAGTAGTCGACAATAGATTAACATTCACTATAGATTTTCAAGTTAAATGCAAGTTCAAATTTGATTTTTCTATTAAAAACTTAAATTCATATCTTTAAAGAACAGCATATAAAGCAGATACATTTCGTTGAAAATCGAAAGCTTTAGGAACAGCCGTAATGTCGTTTAGCCAACACGGAGCAGCGCGTGTGGCGAATCCCGAACAATATTTCAATTAAAACCATTTTATTACAAACGACAGTTGGACGTGTGTGAAAGATAAAGGACGCTTAACATTTAATAGTCTACACGTACTCTGCTCTTTGATATAAAAATATACCTAATATTTGCATTTCACAAAAGAAATTGTTCTTTATTCATATTATCGGAAGTAATAAGATAGAGATATGAGCTCGCAGGGCCCAACCAACTGCCATTGCATTCTGTAGCCAAAAGAACGAATACCTTTTTTTTTTTTACTGCATGAAGACTAATGGTATATGCAACACAATTTTAAAATGTCTCCATCCAAGCTATAATGGTGGCAACTGTCGTGCAGTTATTACACTGCAGCGACAGAAAGTATTCCATTTCAAAATGAATTGCATTATATATGCCGGGAAAGCATTTTGCGTACTATGTGACCAGAGTTTTACGGGCCAACTCATATTTGGAACGTCTCATGGATCTATCAGGATCGTTTCATTTCAAGCGTCTTTCAAAAACCTGTGTCACAAAAAAACCTGCAATTTTCAGAATAAAGTTGACTTATACATTTAGACTGTGCCGCATTTTTATGTCTGCTGCGATTCGTCGCGACGACCTGTATTAGCAAAAATGCGCAAAATGGACTTCATTAGGCTTTCTTATTTGCACATTTTATATAATGTGAAGAGAATCTCAGCATCAATATCAGTGACATGACAAAACCTGAAAGCAGATTAATCGTGCTTATTAACCAAGTGAATGATATAGCTTGATCCTCGGCGTCACATTTGAATTCACTAAACTTATGTCACTGGCTATTATAAGGAAACTATAAGGATTGATTTTCACTGTTGATGTGTTTTTGAGACTCCCAGTTTTACGGTGTACAGCAAACTGTCATACTGGTTTTTTTTTTTTTTTAATCGCCATGCACTTTTGCATTAAACGAAACTCCAACACATTAATTGTATGATCGGAAGTGACCGCAAATTGTTCTATGTACTTTTTCCCGTTACATACTGGACCATGGCTTCTCATTTTTATTGTTTTAAATTTAACAACATTTTGGAGGTACTTATTCGCGATCCTTAGGAACTCTTTCTCCATGATAGAATCTTGCTTTTGGTAAAAGGCCTACTGAGATGGAGACATCAGGGTCTCCCAAACTTTAAGCTTCATATTTTGTGGGTAACTCCAACTGGTGACCAGATTGAAGCATGCCATATAATATTATTATCTAATTTGTATTTCTAAGATCTTTTTGCATTCACTTAACACAACACTCAGTCTAAAAGATAACCCTTAGGTGTCAATTTTACCCGATAAAGAAGCAGCCCAATGTATCTTCAAGAAAAAGGCGAATATCACTAAGTTATGTCTTCACTTTTAACCAAAAATAAATTCTTTCGGATGGCACAATTTAAAAACACTTTCAACTTCCCATTCGCGCCTGATTCACATGATGAACCACGGATTCCGGCCGTACAGGGCGAGTACGAAAGCGAAACCCAAATGTCGGGACTATTGTTTTAGTGAAGTTTTGCATGTAGCACGTTCAAAATCTAGGACATAAAAGCCCCATCATAAGCTTTCTTTTAGTACAAGAATCATTTAAAACACTTATTTACTTTTCAAGTTACGGAATTTTAAACACAACCACCGTTTTAAAGTTCTGTCCACAGATCACACAAAAGGTGTGCGTTCTTTCAGCAAAACGCAAAAAATGCACACACATCTGTATATAAAGTGTTTTCGTTTTGCTGAAAGAAACACCTACCTTCTTGTGATCCGTGGACAGAACTTTAAAACGGTGGTTGTGTTTAAAATTCCGTAAATTGGAAAGTACATGAGTGATTTGAATGATTCTTGTACTAAAAGAAAGCTTATGGATTGGGCTTTCATATCCTAGATTTAAAAGGCTACATGCAGAACTTCACTAGCACAATGGTCCCGACATTTGGGTTTCGCTTTTTTTTTGCTCACGCTGTATAAGTCTAAATCATTGTTTTCTATAAAGGCTTAATGTGACAGAAATCAAGTTTCTCAGAGCATGCGTAATTGACAAAGAGTTGCTTTGCACCAGACCCTAGCTATAGTGGTTTCCAAATTTCAATTTCGATATTTATATAGGCTTATGAATTAATTTCTATTTGTGGATATTTGCAAACGATCCCAGTCATAAAAATGGTCCTATATTTTTAGGAAAGCAGTGACGAAATTTAAACGATAGATACGGTTATGCTGTTCGAGTTTGACTCAAAGAAAACTATCCTTGTTTATCTCTTGGCATTCAATTTTGGTATGAAGTGTACTCGGAAGGATTTTTGCCTTCAGATATATTTCCGTTTAAACGCGGACGATTGGTGCAATGGAACGCGTGACACAGACATACAAAGCAAAAACAATAATGCTGCTCAATCAAGTGAATTCATTTGTCCATACATTCATTACAGAAAAATACATCTGTGCCCAGCGACTTTCGCTAGTGATGTAATGTCAACTTTATAACTTCTTATAACAAAGTGCACTCGGTTTTGGACACATTTATAGAGGAAATTGATCAACAATTTTTGACGAAACATGACCGTGGCTAACACCCTGGTCCCGTTTGACTCATCTTTCATAATTGCCCGAACATGTTTCAAGTATTATTTTCCTTGACACGTGACCCCAGAAATGATCCTTTGATAAAAGCATACGCAATAATATCAAATTCTTGCGATTTTTGTCTCTGGGGAAAAATAATGGTATATGTCATTTCCGCAGGCCGCATCTTTACTTTTTCGATATTAATAAATTTGTTTTCAGGAGTTCCTCTGTTTAACATGAACATATTGTGATACTTTGATTTAGTTGTGAACATTGTGGAAATAAATGAACTGAACTGAAAGAGTGCAGATTGAAGAGCTTTTAAAATTAGAAATTTATAGTCAAACCAATTTTTTTTTAGAAAGACTGATTGAAAATGAGTAAACTTACTTTCTCAAACGCCCATGAGGCCGGATGTATATACAGTAGCGCCTTAGTCCGGAGGAAGATATAACAGACACAGTCGGTGCAACTAACTACCGCTGCTGCTTGCAAAAGTGCATAGTCCTGGAAGCCCCATTCGGGTTTTTATATCCGAAACTAGGCCAAGCACCTGCCGTACTGACAGCAGTTTTTTTTTCTCCCGCAGAGTAGAAAGTGTGTTCAGTCCTTTTTTTTTAACCATACAAACACACACCACTCCCATCTCAACACCGCGGCGCCCAATCCAAAGTCATGATTGGTCGGCGTCGCGCTAGCCTGACGTCACAACTATAATCCGATTGGTGGTTTCAACGAGGTTAATTTGCATGTCGAGTTTTTTTTTTTTTTGGTCGCAGACAGACGTCACTTCTCTCTTGCTTGTCTCCCCCCCCCCCCCAACTGGTCAAAGTGTAAAACCTTATCAGGCCTGCGTGTGTGAGCAAAGGGTCGTTAGTAACGCCTACGCCAAACACGTGTAAAATAAAGGAGGGCTAATTGTTCGCCAGATACAATGATACCGAATATAAATCACACACAATGACAGAAACTGGGGCCAAGAAATGCAACACTCTATCTCCTCGTGATGGGTTGATTTAAACGTTTCAGTTAAACGATCAGTTTAGTCTTATGTTTGCTGGGAAGTTTAACGGTTCCTCAAATCTCTTCCTTCCTCCATGCTCAAATTTCCCCTAGAGGAGAAGAAGTCAATGAAGAAGAGGGAAGTTACATTTAAGTGGCGATAGAAACCCCATTTACAAAAATCCCATAAAGCGATTCGGGCAGGGACTACCGACCTATCGACAAGTCGGCCCACGGTGAGATTCGAAGTGAAGTAGGCCTATACAGCTTCTATTAAATCTTAAGGGCCTAGTCAAGTGAATAGCAATTCAAAATGAACTTTTAAGAAACCTTTGTCATTTTTCATTCCTTGGTACTTGGCAAGTTACTTATTACTTGACTTGTGATTTGACTTGGGATTAAAGTGTGGTGGACCATAGACAGACTGGTCTTCAAACATGGAGCCAGATACAACTCTGCAAAATAACGACAATCACTGCCCAAACTTTCCCTTGAGAGTTTCAAACTTTTCTGTCACATGTACTTCCAGTTCCATTATAGAGAAAGGACCACAACTTGCTCTTTGGTTCCATCCACCACTCATCACAGCTTTTGTCAGGTGAAGCGGGTAAGTCATGCCCCAGTGGCACTAGGTAGTAGGTCACGCTAAGTAGCCGCAGTCCCTCCCCTAAGATGCCCCTGCATCGTTTCACATTTTCCGCCCGTATTTGCCTTGTGTGAAGGCCTTTGTTGTTTTTCCCCGCCCTTCTAGAAAAACAAGTGCAGCTGACGATGTGATCCGTCTAGGCATTCAGGGCCCAAGTTGGTCAACTTTGGCTCCTTTTGGAAACTGTGCGAATATCCAACTGTTCAACCAAAAACAACTCCAAGCGTTGTTTCAACACAATGAATATAGATTTACATGTATTATAACAACAGCCAGCGAGCCTTAACTCTCGCATCTGGTGTATACAATCGAGCTCACGAGTCTATAGACTTAGAAAAACTCAAAGGGACACCGAAAAAGGGGATCGAGACTTCGATAATTGTTTTGCGAATTATTTCCAGCATACCGTCCATTGTGAAACCTAGCGCTATGTTTGAGCAAAAATGCGCTGGCACTTTCTTTGGGCCGGCCCCGTCGAGTAAACCTCGTCATGATTTTAATCCCTTGCGAAAACAGCCACGTAATTCCATTATGCGGACACACAGATTATGAGGCCAGTATGTTCCAGCAAGTGTTCATAAACGCATTGTCATGTTTACAGTAAGAGCGGCAGAGAATCCTTTAAATTAGTCGGCAAACAGATTGCGGCTTTAGAGTAGACCTCGGTGAAATGACGACGATGAAATGACGAAGGGGTGCGAGCTTTACATTAGGGAGACGCATCACGTGATGCAACAGCCAAGGACTTGAATTCAATCTTACCTTATCGACGCCAGCTTAATCGCTTTGTTGCTAGTGCTCCTGGGATCTAAGGATTTTGAAATGTCTTCATTGTTTTCTATTCTGCTAGTGCTAGTCGGAGAAATTAAATAACGGGTTAACTTTTTTAGCGTGTTAGTAATTTAGTACGGCGAAACAGATGTTTTAATTAAGAATCAGTACAAGGTTTTATCTGTGCATGTATTTGAAATGGGGCGCTGTGGTCCAGCGGTAAGGTTCGACTCTTTGATGTACGTGGGTTCGAAAGCTGACGGGAAACATGGTGCTTGTGTTCTTGGGCAAGACACTTTACTACGATTGTCTCTCTCCACCTACTAAATGGATACTCCTACGAAGGTAGAGACCCTATTGCTCTGATCTCGAGCAGCTGCAGCAAAAAAATGGTCTTATTCCTGATGGGCAGGCAACATTGTGAAGCGATTTGAAACATAGGTATAACGCGCTACAATAACACCAAATTGCTATTATAACTTATGTGACAAACTGTGTCTAAAAACGTTACGAAATCTTCATTTCTCTTTAAAAAAAAAAAGCTTCCTCAGAATTCTGCCTGCGCCGCTCGATAAAAGTGCCGTTTGCGTCTGCTCCTGATCTTAAAATGACACGAAGTGCAAAGCTGACTAATTTGTTGGCAAAAGTAATAATCGTGGGGCGAAAAACGCGACAGAAAGAGCTAATCAAGAAAGTGGATTGATTCGTACTCGAGTTGATGTGGGTTTGTGCTGCCCAGTCACGTCATAAAACGCGTGCAGCCAGTTGAAGCGAAGAATTCAACCGCCCAATAAGCGCGCACGGGCGAAGTGTTAACTCGCTAGTTGTATTGCTACCCATGTACTCGATAGGGATATGGTCTGTCTGTGCATACCTACAAGTTTCGTCATTTTGAGAATGAATTTCGCACCGTTAACTGAGCTAAGTTGAACTTCTAAAAAGATGGTATGTCCGCTTTTTTGGAAAAAAAATCCATAATAACATTTCCCTCTTAAAAAAAAGAGTAATGGAAGAAAACTGAATTTTGTAACATTCAATTCGGTTTGGTCTTTCCAAAAAAAAGCCATTAATTTTTTTTTCTGCTTTGGATTGATATACATTATTGCGGTTTTGGAAAATTAGTCTTTGAATTTTTGTCGACCGATTTTTGTGAGATGTCCAATTGAACAAGCTCGTAATTTATCTTATGCTAAAAATGGCAATTCTATTTGAAGATTATTCATTCTAGGGAGCCATACCACTAAAAAGGCGCAAACAAACTGTATTCATGACATGGAATTGTACAAAAGGGCTGAACAATATCTAGGCCTACAATTTAATTTGCTAAGACTTCAAGATCATGAAAAGGTCTTATAGTCCACAGCCGTTCATTGTACATGTATACACTGCATGTTCTCAATTTGCAACGTGATAAAGTGTGAATAGAGCGTTTTCGTCGTATCTACGTTGCACTTGACGATTCTTTAGCAACGATATAGCTGTAATAAGATTCACGCTACCATTGGGAAAACAAAAAAAAGCTAGAATAATCACCCTTCAGGGTGGAAACATAATTTCGGTGTGGTTTCCACTGAAGTTCTCCCGTTAAACTCCAAACAAAAAGTACCCCGCTTTAGCTTCAATACGATGGGTGTGACCTGGTTAATTTCCCGTAACCCGTTGCACTGGTACAAGGTACCCTGTGGAGACATGTGCATAATATAGGGAACAAAAGATTGTATACATGGCAATTTGTCTCCACAAGGTTATCACGAAATAGATGTATGGATTTTACTCATAAACTAGGAATTTCCAAGGTGTGTTGATCCGTCGCAAATTGAAGTATCTCAGCTCAGGAAATTATTTTGGTCAAGATAGGAGCATTTTGAAATTACACTTTCAAACTCTAAAATTTAAGTACGCGAGAATAAAGAAATGACTCCACAAGGATACAAATTCCAGTGTGTGTTTTTCTGTTTAATCACAGCTAAATGCTCAAAAGAGAAATTTTCAGGTTGGATATCAAGTTCAGCTATACATGGCAATGCGATACGAGTTGAAGCGTGCGGGGCCCATAACCATCAGGTTCGTGGCTGGTCCAATCATCAACTCGTTCATCATTGACAGTGCGAGCATCAATCATGTCCCATCGTAGCTCTGTGTCTTTAGCCACGAGTGGGATTTTCCGTCTCCTCTTGTTTTTTTTCCCCCGCGCTGCTCCAGACCATACATCATCGTGTATTTCTCCGCTGCTGCATGGCCAAGTGTGTTGCATGCACTACCGGCGATATCAACACTGTGTAACTGATCATCTAGGCTAGGAGGCCGGGACGCTAAATGAAAGTAGATTAATGCAGACCTACAATTAAATTTGCATGCACGGTGTGTCCTGTCTAAAACGAACTATGTTACTTTAGTTGCTTCTCCTTCTGCGATAAAAGACTGTGCTCTGGCTAATTAGAAACGCACAGAGTGAATTTAGGGCAGAAACGTGTGTATGGTGGCCCATAAGGGACATGAGCAGTCTCAATTTTCACTTCGAATTCACATTACTTTTTACAATTGACGAATCCCAAATTACCACTGAACCGAGGCTGTCAGTGGTGAGACATTGTATGAATTTAGGAATTTCTTTTTTTTTAATCCTCGCAACAAAAGACAGTACTGGGGCCGTCGGCTTCAGTGCCAGTTTTTTTAAATTCCTCTATCAGGATTGCTTATCCTGTTATTTACGTCTCAGCATTTTTTGCTTTTGACTGACGCGCGATGTCTTTGATTATTGTTCGTGAAATGAAAGTGGCACGGTCCATGTCCTTTCCAGTTTACCTCACATCTCACTGACGCTGACCAAAGAATAACATGATACTTTCTGTCAAATTCTTAGAAATGGCTACCCTAGAGAATGGCCAGTTTCACAGTTTCACAGAAAGTTGCACAAGAAATTGTTGTTAACCCTAACAGTCCTGAATCAATATAATTTGGCACACCCCTAGGGAGTTAGGGTTAAGCAAGAACGGGATACCAGCCAAGAAAAGGCGTGCAATGCATATCACTTATGACTGGTTCCCAGCCAATTTATGCTCAACGTAAAAATTGCAGAGCAATGTTTTCAGCTTGGCAACTTGAACTTTGACCCTAGGCATTTTTCTAAAGTATATCGAGGTCATTAAGATATTCATCTTGACCTCTCACTC